TGTGTGTGTGTGTGTTTGTGTGGTGTGGTGTGGTGCATTGATACTAAAACAATATTATTCTAACCTAGACCAGTTTGCACGTTGGAGTCGTGCAACTAAGACGCTACAGGGGGCATGATCGGATCGAAAAATAAAGTTGCTACTGTATTTTTATCATGTCTATATGTCTGTCTGTCTGTCTGTCTGTCTGTCTGTCTGTCTGTCTGTTTGTTTGTCTGTGAAAAGAATTAGTTAGACTGTTAACGCAATAATGAAAAATGCCATGCGTATTACTTACTGTGTCACCGGTCGTTCATCTTCTTTATAATCGTCGTCGAAACCTCTATCAATAAAGAATTTGCCGCCCGAAAAGAGAGTTTTGGAGGCTGGTCAGAAGGGCATGGGAAATTTAGCATCGTCGAACTCCTCATGCGTACTGTTTTGACCTACAATCCTAAACAGTCGCGGTCTCTTTCTTTGATAGTCCTCATTAAAATTCCTTTTTCTGTTGCCAGCCACATAATCTTTGGTGCAGAAACTTGCTCTTGCCTTTGTCAATCCGCTAGTTACGAGATCACAGGAGAGATATGAGAGGTCATGAACAAGATTTTTTGTAAGTGTTTTACGGCACTCGAACTGCATAAGGTCATATGAGCGAGCGGGACACATGAAACATTTTCAGTTGGTATCAAATTTGGAGTTTTGCCCGGGTTGCGGCCGAAGCCTACTCTTATAGATTTTAGATCACCAAGGGATCTAAAACGTGTGCAACTTCTGAGATTTTTCGCTCTTGTCTGAGAAGGCTAAGTGAATATTTTTCCTATCAGAAGAATCAGGATGTGGCAGAAAGACAGCAGTAAGAAAGCCAAGGCGTAGCAGTAGATAGGCTGCAGAAAGAGTCAGGAGCCCAGAGGAGGGGGCGAAGGAGGTGAGGGGGTGGGGGCAGAAAATGGAGACGAAAGCAGACGACGGAAGATTGCTTGAGAGCAGGAAAGGGGGTGAAAGTAGACTATTTTAGAGAATAAAATGTTTTGGTCGCTACCCGGATTCGAACCCCTGACCCTTGAATGAGAGGCCAACATCTTAACCTCTAGGCCACGAGAGCCCCCTCAAGACTATTTAATGGCGCTGTGTCTATTTTGAGACACCAGTAAAATTGTTTCTATTTTCTTGAGTATAACGACCACCTCTCCAAGACAATCACCGGTACAAACGATAGAGGTGGGCAAAATCCGGATAATCTATAAGGATAACCAGATAACTCTCAATGAAACATTATCCGAATTCAGAATCTTAACCCGATTTCCTGACCCGTTTGCCGAAGTGATTGCACCCACTTGTTAAAGTAGCCTAGTGCAAACCCGTTTGCCGAAGCGGTTCATATCATATTATTATTCGTCGAAGAGGTGCACTAACATATTATCATATTATCCGGATTTTGCTAAAGGACTCATTGCCCTGCCCTAACAAACGACCACATCCCACTTGCCTCTCGAGTTCTTTTTCGACACTGTCCACTACATCTTTCTGTCTAAGACAACCTCTTTTCTCCTCGGCAGGCCGTCTTGGACAATTTCGATTGCACAGAAAAAATGACCAATGTGACATTTTCAGGTTTAGATAACATCAAATGTTAAGGCTCAAGACAACATGGTTTTAGGGGGGGGTTTCGTTTTGGGGTTTGGTTGTTGTTGGGTTTTTTTTTGTTCCTTCTTCAAAACGGATCTCTAACTCAAGACTGAGCGTATTGCCCGGGTAATAAAGTAGTAGTAAAATACATGTATACTTCTTAGAAACTTTTTAAAATGAAAATGATTATTGAGTAAATTTTTTTAAAAATAAATAAATACATTTAAATAGATAAATATATAAATGAGTAAATAAACAAATAAATAAATAGATTTTAAAAATAAATAGATAAATAAAACAGTGCTTGCCAAGCCGAGCGATATCGCCCTCTTGTGGATGATTTGGGGATTTTGGTGGGTGGTGGGGATTACCCGGGTAGGGAAACGACACGTATTATTTAATGTCTAGCTTGGAAATACATCAAGTGTGGGCGGTGCGGCTCTCGTGGCCTAGAGGTTAAGGTGTTTGCCTCTCATTCAAAGGTCCCGGGTCCAAATCCGGGTAGCGCCGGAAAATTTTTCTCTAAAGTTGTTTCCTTTCACCTTCTTTCCTTCTCTCTAGAATTGTTCTGTCGTCTGCTTTCGTCTCCACTTTCGTCCCCCACCCCCTCACCTCCTTTGCCCCCTCCTCTGGGCTCCTGACTCTTTCTGCAGCCTTTCTACTGCTACTCCTTGGCTCCTTCTTACGGCTGTCTTT